GGCGGGGCGCTGGGCCCGCAGCGACGCAACGCGCCTTGCCGACGCTAGCGCAGTGAAAAACGTCAGAAGGAAAAGAAAATCTGAGTGCTTCAGGCTGCAAAAGTGATTCCTGTTCAGGGCACGTCAGCGAGCAGGGGCCCGCGCGCCCTCGCTGGACTCCCTCCTGCTCCGGTGTCGTCTCCGCTTCCCAGCACCAGATTTTGGCGCCTCAAGTCCGCGTCTCAGGGCCGGGCGGGCCTCGGCGCTCGGTCCCCGAGTCTGGCATCACGCCAAAGACAAAGCCCGCCCCCGCCCGCCATCCCCCCGGCCCCCCCAGGGCCCAGTCCGCTGACCGTCGATCCCTACTCGGGGCGCACCAGTCCGCGCCGTGCGCGTCGCGTCTTCCCCTGAGCCCCGCCCCCGCCCCCGCCCGCACACGTAGCTGTTCGCTCTGCAGATGCCCAACAACCCTGTTCTGAACAGTCTTGTCCGACGTTTTCTTTGAACGCTGCAGCTCCCCGCAGGCCTGTGTGCAGCTCCAGGGCTCTGGCTCCAACTTCTGGCGCTTGGTGATGTCAAGGCGCGATGCCAGCTGGGTAAGTGTGTGCTGGAGTTCGGGGTCTCAAGGAATACAGCCGAGAGTCAGAGGACCAGCAAGTACTTAAACCTGTAACCTTAACCGCCCGGAACCCGGCAAATGAGTGTTCTCAACAGGGAAGAGAGGAAGTTCGTCCATATTTTCGCTGAAATCCTCTATTATCTACACGATGTGTCAAGCTACAGAGCTTCAAAAGCCCCGGACTTGGCTGCTGGACGTAGTTTCCGGAAGGCTGTCAGCTTTGGGGTTGGCAAGAGTCTGTTCCACGGGAGGAAGACGTCTTTAATTCACATCCCTAGTGGCCCCGACTGCACTTCAGGGCCCTGGACATCACAAACTGCGCTTCAGACGTTTTGTTTGCTAAAGTCAAGACTGCCTTCTAGTACTTCTAGTTTTCTCTTTGGTCTTTGCGCAGTTTCGTTTGGATCCTGAAAAACAAAACTGCGACAAGAACATAGCACAAAACTCACCATCCCAGTCACGTTTAGGTGCACCGTTCAGGGCTGTTTACTGAAATAGGGTGCTTGATCAACTGAGGATGTCTGGTGTGTTTCTGATTGGGGGGTCCTGTGTTTGGGCGGCGTTATAGTCGCCCTAGGCTGCAGGCTTGCCCTCTTCCGCACGCGCATCACGCTGCACAACGTTCACTGCTGGTGGGAAGCTCTTACTTTTGTCTTCTTGCTGCTTCGCTTTCTCTGCAACACCAATTCACTAACAGTTGCTTCTCTCTTCTTTTTGGTCTTTTTTTCTGCTCAAGTCATACGTTTGGCAGGTCACTACTTCTGGTCACCTTCCTGTACTCTGTAGCTGCCATGGCACTTACCATTATTTCCCTGTTCGGAGTGGACTTATTCTGTCAGTGACCGTAGATCGGCCGTAGGCACCGACCCCCGTACTCCCCGCAGTTCTCACCTGGCTCAGCACACATGCTTATGAATCTGGGATTCAGCCTGCTTTTGTTTTCTTAGATTTATTTGTGCACACAGAACTGGGGCACAGGCCAGAGGTGCAGGGGCGGAGAGAATATGCACCAGAGACAGAGCGGGGAGCAGGACAGGCAGATGGACAAAGTCCACTGCTGAGGGGAGCAGTGGGCGGCCAGGAGAGGTCTGCTGGCCCTGTGGGTCACCTCCGGGGCAGGGATCAAACTCGCACTGAAGCAGCTGCGGCCAGCTTGCAGTGCTGCGTCCTAACCTGTTGCACCACCAGGGAGGGTCCGGCATTTTTTTTTTTAAGGATTATTTATTTGTGCATACAGACTGAGGTACAGGCCAGATGTACAGGGGCGGTGAGAAACTCCACAGAGACAGAGTGGGGAGCAGAACAGGCTGACTGACGAAGTACACGGCTGAGGGGAGCAGAGGAGAGACAGGTCTGCCGCGCCCTGGGGGTCACCACTGCGGCAAGGATTGAACTTGTGCTGAAGCGGCTGTGAGTTGGCTTAGCTCTGCAGTGCAGCGTTCCAATCTGCCATGCCACCAGGAAAGGCCCCTCGGCATGGTTTTTTTTCTTTTCCTTTCTTCAGACTTGGAGTTATATTGAACTTTGGGAATTTGTCTTCAAGTTACGTTTACCATGTGCTTTTGGTGTCTTTAAAATTTTGTTCTTATTATTCTGGATTCTTTTTGAAAGAAAATATGCCACTAAGGTGGCAGCCAGTGTCTGTCATTAAATCATCCCTGTGAAGTTTCCTGACTTGTAAAAAGCAGGTCTACCCTTCCCCCATCGGCCGAGTTCCTGAGGGCTCGGTTTCTTGACAGGAATGTCTCAAGGCCTTTCCATCCCTGCTGATCAGTGTTGGGCTGGAACCTGTCAGAAAGAAAACCTGCCCCAGACACTGCGTGGCCTCTGGTTTTTCAATTCTTCCGCCACAATTCCATACTGTTTGCAGAATCTGGCACACAGTGAGCCCAGGGCTGGCACGGGCCATTCACTGGCTGGGCACGGCCCCTTGTAGGACATCTCACTGCTGGGGCCGAACCGTGCCCGCCTGACCCCCAGCGCGACTGCTGGTAGGTGGGGCCTTTGGGATGTGACTGGGCCTGATGTGGCCGCCCGGGAAGCAGCAGAGCTTGTCACTCCACAAACACGAGGAGGCAGCTACGCCAGTCCAGCCCGGCTGTCAGCGCTCAGTCTCTGACCTGGTCTGAGCGGATGTCCCACGAGGGCAGCCTGAGCACACGGCTGGAATTTGGTGCCGCCCAGAAACATGGAAACATGCGCGCGTCCCAGCGCCGATTCTGGAAGAGGCTGTCCTTGCCCTGTGGTGCACTCTGGTCCTTCATCAGCGAGCTAGCCACGGGACTTCGAGCTGGAGCTGAGCGGAGGCTGGGATCTGCAGGACCGGGCCCGGGAGGAGACCCTGCTGGGGGTTCACGAGGAAACCGGAGAGCTGCTGAACTCGGGCTTCGCCCCTCAATGTCGTTGCACGGGGCAGGCCTTTGCCCCCACTGCGGAGGGCTAACTGGACCATGTGGAGGATCTACTTAGGATGAAGGAGCGCAGAGCACAGCACGGGGCCAGGAGAGCCCCTTCCCACTCCAGAGCTGGTGCTGGGAAACTGGGTGGCCCCGCTCTTTGGGGACCACACATGAAGATGAACTCAGAAGTGGCTCTAAGACTTGGCGGTGAGGCCTGGAGCCTCGGGGACACAGAGGACACAGGCCCCCTGGCCCAGCCTCAGGGACGTGTCTGGGGATGCCGCGCCAATGCAAGGAAGCAAAGGCCAAGGATCGTGGCTGATCTGCGCGTTCGGGGTGCACAGCCCGCTGCTGTCACAGTCGCTGGCATGTCACCTCTGATCGTCATGTGAGCTCAAGCTACTCCAGGTCTCGGCTTCCTTAGCTGCACATTGGGGATAATTAGAACAGCGACTTCTGAGTTAATGGTTACTCTGGACCCACACAAAGACAAAGGAGTGACAGTTCTCGGTCTTTCCTTGCCCCAGAGCAACTCACAGTCAAAGACGAATGAGAGTCGCAGAGCAGCAACTATGCAGAGATGCATGTTCTAGACTCGATGGCTCCACTGTCCCTCTGAGTCCTTTCACACACCCACTTTGTCTCTTGATGTTTCTTTCTGAAATACACCACACTGACAATTGTTTTCCATAGTTGTAGGGTTGTTGTGGGACTGAGAAATAATGACAGGACTAATGGGTACTAAGGACATGAGGCTCCCACCGCTGCTGAGTCATGTTAATGGCACCTGGGGAAACGAAAGCCGGTGGAGTCGCGGCCTTTGCCCGACCTGTGACAGCAGCGAGTCTTCCCTTTTTGAGGTTGAAGTTAGTTTCTCCTTTGAAGGAGCAAGGCTCAAGTCCAACTTTTGTTTTCGGGTTTGCTTTCATTGAAGTGTGCCTTAGTCTTCTGTGGACAGCGACACGGTCTTTTGGCCAGTCCAGCTCCTGAGTCTGTCCCTATTTCTGAACGAAACATGCAACTTACTTTGAACTTTGCCACATGTTTGCTTGTGATCTTTTATTGTTATCGCGTTGTATTGAACAAATGCTTGCTCAGTTAGCAGCAGCCTTCTGGTCACATGGATCACAGTCCCGTGTCCTAAGACCTGAGGCCTGGGCACACCTGCCACCTGCTGCTCTCTTCCTACAGCTGGGTTTTCCTGCCAGATGCTCGTTCCCTGGCGTCACTGTTTGTCCGCGGGTACACTACTTTCATACACTCATTCGTGCGTTGCAGCAGTAAAATACAAAACTGCTTTAATGGTTTATAGAGATCTTTATTTTAACGAGCGCATTCATTCATTTTCTTGTGTAGTTCATTCTTGGGCACCCCGGCTCCCCCGACGCCGGGACTGAGCTGTGTCCCATCGCCCCCAAGGCTGCCCCCCCGCTCGACCCGCCCCTAGACCTGTGGTCAGCCTGCCAGCTTTGTTAGTGCTTGTAAGCAGTAGGAGGGCATCTGCGCTTACACATGACACGTTTTAGGGACTCAATCAAAAAGCAGACGTTGTGGCTGATCGCGTGCCATTTGAGATGGGAACGAAGAAGTTGAAGCGAAAATAAGAAGGCCTTGCAGATAGGGCCCCTGTGGCTGCCTGCTCGATGCGGAGAACAGCGTTCCTTTGCCAGAGAAAACGGCGCTTCCGCACTCCCAGAGCCTAAAGGTTTTCTACTGTGGTGACGAGCAAAACCTGATGAGGAAGGGGGTTTTCTGTGGAAATGGCGGCTCTAGCTCTGCTTGGCCACGCTGGCGTAGGTGTGCTCGATCTCCTTGTCTTCAGGGCACGTGTGGGCGAACTCCTCCCGGTCATACGCGTTGCGGAGGTAGCGCCAGACCCCTGAGAACTCCGCTGGGATGTCGAAGTTACGGTATTTCTTGGCAGCAACCTAGGGTTTGGGAGAAACGAAGAGGAAGGCAGTTGGCGCGGGGGCGCCAGCCCTCCCCTGCCGTGCAGGAAGGCGAGCTCGTGAGGCCCTGGCCCTGGCGGTCGCCGCCACTCCTGGCGGGCCCATGCCAGTGTTGTGTGCTCAGCGCGGGACCTGTGGCAGGACGAGCTCTGCTCAGCACACCGGTTGCATTTCCCGTGAAGTGGCGCCATCCTCCCTGTTCTGGAAACGAGACGGTGGACAGCAGCGGAAACTTACTTTAATAATGTGCAGCTTGGGCAAAAGGCTACAGTCAGCCAGCGTCAGCTGATCCCCGTCCAGGAATAATCTCCTGGACACCGTGAGCTCCTCGGCGCTGTCTGCGTCTATCTCGTGCAGAAGCGGGGTCTTTAGGTAATCGTCCAGACGCTTCAGTTCTCGGAGTAGGGGTTTTTCGAAATCTGAGGCAGAGCAGTCACAGGGTCACTGACAGACGTAGCGTCTCCATGCGAGACACAGCTCAGGCTGCATCTCAGCCTCAGAAGCTGACAGTGCCGGAGGCAGCTGCTAACCCTTCAGACTTCCCCTGCTGAGGCTTTTGCTGGGACAGTCAGGTGACACGTGCGGTCAGGGCCGGGGCTTGGGGTTGGAAAGATCATAAAGGTAAAGAGGATTTGGAAAGCGACTCTACGGAAAGTCCAGTGAAAGATTTCATAGGAGAGGGCACGGGAGACGGGCACAACACCCCCAAATACATATACACATTCACGGGGCTCCTGCCGGAGTGAGCAAGTGCCTGAGAAGAACAGGTCTGGGGCGGCATGGCTTACCCGGGTTCGCGTCTTTTTGTGGATTCTTAATATATGCAGAAAACTTGGCGAAGAGGTCACAGCCCACAGTGAAGGATTCCTTGTTCACGGGGGTCAGGTGAGGGTATCTGTGCGGGGGACAATGGGGGTTTCTGATGTGAAGAGGGAGCGACGAGGGAGCAAGGGTCATGGGATACAAGGGGGTGTAGTGAGAAACAATCACCCATAATCAAATGAAGCGACGTAATGTCATTCAGCACATCAAGAAACCAAATACGGAAACGTGATCACGAAGAGACACAGAAAAGTGTTCAGCGAACTCGCTTTCTGTTCATAGCAAACCCCCAATGTCCTTTTCCTGGGTTCCGTCCCTTCCTTCAGCCCTCGGCAATGCCAGCCGGCTTGCCTTCGGAAACGCCCCTCAAATCTGGCCACGCGTCACCGCCGCACTGCCCCGAGCGGCTGACACCTCTGTTCTCGCACTGGTCTCCGAATCTGTCAGTGGCCCTGTCTGAGCGCGTGGCCCTCTGGAGATGGCGGCTGTTTACAAGAAACTCCAGTGTGGATGAGAGTCACGCCCTGCAATGTCACTCCTGCCCTTCCCTTTGTGACACCAATTACACATGTGGTAGCGCTTCGCCGCGTCTCTAAGGCAGTGACCTGCTGCCTCCCAGCCAGGGCTTTCTACTTCAGTGAGTGTCTCCTAGGTTGTGGAGCATCTGATGTGAAGCCTGTGACATCAGCTACTGAATTCAGATAATGTGTTTCTCAGTAATAGGATTTCATTTTGTTCTTTGAAAGTGCTCTCGAATTCTTTAGTGAACGTCTGCTCTTACATCTGTTTTCCCCCCATTTCCCTCTACTGCGTGAAGTGTGTCAGGAAAAATTATATGAAACTTGCTGGGTAACTCTCGGAGCTCGATCATTTGCTTATCTCTTGTCTCCTCACCCTTATTTTGCCTCCATGTGTCTCGGTGTGTCTGTTGCTTCTCGTGCTGTTGCTGGATGACAGACACACACAGAAGCTGCAGAGGTCCAAGCCGTCTCCCAGATCGAGGACATGCGTTCGCTTAGCACAGTCAGGGCTGGGGGCCCTCACCCTAAGAGGTGCTGAGCTCCCCTTTCTTGTGTTAGGAACATGGGGAGAACCTGTTCTCCTCTTAGGGAGTTTTCTGCTCAGTCTTACTCATTTTCCCACCTTGAGAAGCCTCAGAATGGCAAATGTTCTCGGGGCGACCACTGGCCACGTGCTTGAGAACCAAGCCCTTCCCTGTCGGCTGTGAGACACGTTAAACAGCACACACTTCAGAAACACTGAAAGGAAATGTCCAGACTGTTAGCGACTAGGCACCTTCTAGCTGAAGTGAAGCACCTTGGGCAGGGGCTGGTTCCCCGCACGAACAAGGAGCTGGAACTCCCAGTCCCCCGGCCTGGCCAGGGAAAGGCACCGGATGTTGAGCTTAGTGGTCTGCGAGTTCCTCAGTCATGTCCGTGAAGCCCCAGGGTGGACCTTGAGGAACAGCCAGGTGGGCGCCACGTGGACACTTGGGGAGGGCAGAAGCTCCCTGATGTCCCCAGCCCTCCCTGGTGCACACCTTCTACCTGGCTGTGGGTGGGTGGGTGGGTGGGTCCCAGCCACGGCCTGTGACACATGAGGACCTGCGATGTCGGGTCCTGAGTTCTGTGACGTGTGCCGCCAAGTGACCCCCCGCTGGAGGGTGCCCCAGGGCACCCCGCTTCGTAGCCGGTGGGTCAGCAGCACAGATCTCAGTCTGGGCTCGCCACAGACACCTCAAGGCCCAGGAGCGGACCGCGGGCAGCCCGGATGCCCGGCCCGTCGGCGACGGGCTCGAGCGGGCGCCTCGGGCCCCGCTGGCAGGCGAGGCCCGCGGGCGGTGCCCACCGGGAGGCCAGCGCCAGGACACCGCGACCTCCTTCCCCTGGCGCTGCGGGGCTTGCTTCTGGCTTCCCCCCTCGTCGCCCAGTGGCTCGAGACCGTTCTCTCTGAAGCGCTTTGTGGCCAGCGCTTTGCTGCCTTGTTTGTTTTACTCAGGGGTGGGGGCATTTCCTTCCTGGCTGCCCTGATGATTGTAAATTGGATCCATGGAGCCGGAGGCGACCTCTGGGCTGGAAATGCCAGACCTGACTTGAATTCTCAGACACCTGCTGTGGGGCCTCCCCAGGAACCCCGGCCCTCTGCGAAGTCATGCTGCCGGCTCTGCAGTGGCTACAATGAAATGTGGTCTGGATTCACCTGCCCTTTCCAGGTCTCCAACTCTATTCTTTGCCCTTCTGGAAAGATAGTAAAAGAGAGGTCTGATGTTGCAAATAGGTCTAGGAATAAGAACCGTGAATTTGCAGGCCATCGGCCAACAGAACAATAAAAAAGGCTGTACCTTGGAGGAGCCAGTGTCTGCTCTAGAAACTCTTCGATTTTGATGAAGTCTGTTTTTAGCTCCTTGTTATACACCAGGAAGGGCGGATTGGCACCTGGGGCTAAGTCCTTCAGTTCTTCTGGCTTTCTGTGATCATTGAACACGAGCAGAAGGGTTAGGCTCTGGAGAAAGCCTTCTGCAAACAGCCACGTTGTATTGGGGCGGCCAGTTTCAGCCCCAGCGCGAAGTGCGCTCTGCTTTCTCTTACCTGGTCATATCAACAGTCGTCACGTTGAATTTAACTCCTTTAAGCCAGAGGATCATGAAGAGCCGTTGACAAAAGGGGCAGTTTCCGATACTCTCCCCATCACTTCCAGCCTGTTAAGGTTAAAGAAAGGCTTTGTTCATGCAGTCGCTCCACAGAAGTGTGTTGAGCGCTCTGGGAGCTGTTTCTCTGTCATGGTCATGAGCGGACAGAGCGCCATGGGGTCAAGTGATGGCGTTATCTGCAAAACGCTGCGCTGGGTAGACAACAGTAATAATGACAGTGATGTATTTCTAGAACCTGTGTGACCACTTCCTACTGATACACATGTCAGTTACCAAAGAGTCTGCTACTTTGCTTACTTCATCAGCAAATGTTTCTGGACGAGGAGCTTTTTCTAAATGTCTGAACGAATTTCAGCTCTCTCGTTTTCTACAGCTGTCCCACCATTCCTTCCTTCAATGCTGCTTACTATCTGTCCAACTATCTGTGGGGTGCTAGCTGCCCAGTCCATCAGCACCTCTCGTTTCTGGGGCCTGATTGCTTCCTCTTTCAGGTCAGTCTGCAGAGGAAGCAGAGGCATTTCGCCTCAGGGCTGCTCCAGCCTTTCATTTCCGGCAGCACCATGGTCCAGGACCCCCCCATTTTTTTTTTTTTTTTGGCAAAGGTGTCTTTCCCTAGCAGCAGGTAGGAGACAGGAAATCATGTTTATTGTTGCTCTTTTGTGATGTCGGGGTGTGAGGGGAGACTGGCGCCGGAAGGGTGGCCAGCCTTTGTGAAGGGAAAGGCCACAGTGAGGTGGGTGAGGGAAGCGCCGCAGGAAAGGCCGCTTTGTTTCTGTCTGTGTTGTGCTGACTGCGAGTCCGAGCAGGGTTTTAGGGTGTGGCTTTCCTAGCTTGGCTAATGACTTAGTGAAGTGGCTTTAGTTGGAAAAGACAGGATGTGCTCATTCATCAGAACAACTTTTCCTCTTGTGTTTGTGACTGAAATTTCTAGACATGAGAACGGTAGCCGTGGGGCCTGCATCTTCCCGAGAGTTTCCTGCGCTAGGGAGCGTGTCGTACTGCTTGTTTCCTTGGTCCTCCAGTGAAGATGAGCCTGCGAGGCAGCCTCTCTTGCTGCTCTCGGACCTGCGCGGTCAGCAAGCCCACGCTAGCGCTGCTTCCTCCCACCTCATCGTTTCGTTGCATTTTCCTCTAGGATTTATGGAAGTCCTGAGACAGTTTGAACTCGTCTGAACACGTTCCCCCCTTCCTTCACAGATGTTTTTGACAAAACACTCCATTCTGAACTCTGGGCTCACCGTCAGATTCCATAGTGTTATGTGCCAATCTAGGAAAATTAATTTCACAGCAGTGGAGAGAATATAAGACCCCCCTTAAACAGGGAACAACAGACTGATGAGATAAAAGCTGCATATTGAGAAAATACAAGGTGTGTTAGGAAATCATGTGTCCTCAGTTCTTGGATATGAATCGTGCCCAAATTATTCGGAACTGGAAGCCAGTATGCTCACTGGTGACATGAATCTGTGCGTTATGTGGGACAGCCTCAGGGTGGAAGTGCTTGTGGGAGGCTCTAGAAGCCCAGGCTGAAATCACAGGCTCTTTGACTCTTTAGAAAGATACCACATCATCTGTAAGTGAGACTTTGTTGGGAAGCAGCAGTGGTTTTTTTGGTAACTGATACAGTAACATTTGCACACCCGCGGACCCCACGCCCCTGTCCTGGCGTCTACTATGGAACTTCCAGCAATTAGAGCCCAAACCCTGCCTCTCACGAGCTGTGTGACCTTGGACAAAGCGGCTCGGCCACTCTTTGCTTTAGGTTTGTGTATCTGAAAAATCGGGTTAATAATAAGCCGCTAAGCACAACGCTTTCCACACAGTAAGTACTCAACAGATGAGTAGTTATTCTAACCTGCAAATTATGTAATTCAATACTTGCTCATCCAATGTGTGATTTACTCACTTCTGTCCAAATTGCCATGAAGATCAGTTCTAACAAGTATTAAGAGAAGCCTGGCTGGGTACAACGAACCGCTTAGATGGAACGAGAGCTCTTCAGTCACCCCGCGAACAGCCGGGCCTCGGTCTGGGATCGGTGAAGCAATCCCCAGGGCCACTGGAGCAGTTCAGGGTAATTTATGTCCTGCCTGAGCAGTCATGTGCGCTGTCCCAGCAAACACTTGGCTGGATTATTTTGTTCTGCAAGAATTCAAGAGTCTCTCCTCTGCTTTTGAAAAGGCAGGTTTGGTATGGACTCGGTGTGCACGTCTGGCCAGATAGTAAATCATTCAAAATGATTCTAGAAGTATTACTTTGCGAGCAGGTGTTTAAGCAGGCACGCAGCATACCTCACGTCATGGCTTTGGAAGCCGCCCTGACACTGCCTGGCTCTAGAGACAAGTTACTGAAACATTACAGCCTGAGTGCATGTCCACAGGAATGTCACTGCAGGGAGGGTGCCCTGCCACTGCCGCCGCTGCCAACCGGCCTCCTGAGTGAGGTAATGTATGCAGTTTTCACAATAGGCCTGGTGTGGTATGAGTCTGTTGTGATTTATCAAGCCGGATGCTTTTAGCAGTCAATGAAAATACATGGAAAAGGCTAATGTGAGCAAGGATTTAGGAAAGTATGTAATTTCTACTTGGAGTGACCATAGAAATTATTAATTTTTCTTGATAAGCTCATTTCAAAACATGCCTTCCTTTCTCCTGCTTAGGGGCTTTCCAAAGGGCTTTTCTGAAAAGTTGAGACATAAAAAAGCAACCCGAGGCAGACCACAAAGAGGAAGCACAGACCCCCCCTCCAGCAGGCCGGACTCCCCCAGTGTCCTTGGAACCTGCTGGGATGTTCATCCATTGTGGGGGATTCTAGAAAGCTCTACCAGGGTTCTTTGTGGAAGGGAGTTGGAAGGCCATTCTTGGGCCTCTCCTTCCCAAATTCAGGCTTTCCAAATCCTCTTATAAAACAGAGACTGTGAGAGGTGGAAAGTCCTTAAAGATTATCTTGTTAGATTCCTTCATTACATAGAAGGTCCAAGGGGAGAGAGAGGGACTCTTGCAAGTTCACATGGGAAGCCACTAAGAAAACAGCTCAGTGGCTTAAACTCCCACACTGCCTACTGCTCTTCCTGGCGTCTCACCTGGCCTTTCCCTGTTGTCATATCAGACAGGCAAGGACTCAGAGCAGGAGTATAATCACAAAATGATTTTCTGCCTCTAGCCCAGAGGTTGAATTTTTTAGAAGCTGATGTCCAGTGTCAAGACAGAACAAGTTCTGGACATCATTATTGTAGTGGAAAACTCACCTTCACAAAAAGCTCAATCTCAGGGTCTGCTTGCACGTGGGGCCTCACGCCTGCCATTTCTCAGTCTTTCTTGATGACTGTCCGTCCCCAGAGTCCACCCTGGTCACCGTCCTTGGGACTCTTCTCTTCCAGTTTCAGTCAAAGGCTTACAGAAGGCTGGTGCTTTAAGAGGGGCGCCCCGCTTGCATTGGGCTGAGTCAGAACTCAAGGCAGTCTCCTTTCTCAAGAGGTAGGCTGCAGAGAATTCTAGATGCTTTAGAGCAGCTCTTGAGTTCTTTTCTCCTTCTACCCCGTAACATTTGAATTAGGGAGGAGCCTGAGGGCATACGTAAACAGACTGGCTAGCAGGGTGGGGTGTTTCCAGAGGCTCCAACGCTGTGAGTCAGCAGAGGAGAAACACAGACATGAACCCACACTACAGCGCTGCATCAACATATCAAACCGACCAGATGTTCTCGAGAGCCTCCCTTCCAGCCCTGGGCTCCATGCCCAGAAAATGGGCTCTGATTGTTGTTCCTGTAACTCAACAGCCGCAAAAACCTCTTCCAGGAAAAGGACCAGAAATGACTTGGCTTTTATCATTGAGAAGGATGTTTATCTACCGATGCTGTTTAAAAGGGGTTTGAAAAAAGTACCTTACCAAATATCTCCACCCCAATTCTCCTGCTCCCACAGCCAGACGTCCCTTTGGGCTGTGCCTTACACTCCCCCTATAACCGAGGCATGCCAACTGGGGGAGAGGGGCCCTTCACCGTCTTGGGGCGCCCGGCCTCGCTCCTCTCTGGGAAGCGCAGACGGGGACCTATGACCTGCGGGGCCGGGCCGGGCATTGGAGACCATGAGCCGGCGGGTGTCTCCGCCTGTCCACCTGGAGGAGCAGCTCACAGCCAGACCCCTCGCTCTGTCCACTGTCTCTGGCAGCTGCGCGTCTGCCCGCCGGCGCTGGGGGTTGGGGCAGGGACCCCAGGGTGGAGGAGCCTCCTTGCGGGGGGCCCTCTGCCCGAGCCCACGTGACCCAGCCGCTGGGCACCATGGCGAGCCCCTGGCTCCGACACCGGTCACCCCCGGGCCCCCGCTTCCAGAATCTCCGGGCTGAGGGGCTCCGGGCCACTCCTGCCCCAGCCACAGCTGCGGGTGCCCAGCCGGAGGGGCTGACGGGCAGGCGGCTGTTCTGAGCCTGCCTGGCATGCGAAGACCCCCCCGCGCGTGGCTGACGGGAGAGGGTCGCGCGCGGAAGACAGACGAGCCCCTGGAAGGGCAGGCACCGCTGGAGCTCTGCAGCCCATCGCTAAAGGGCCGCTGGGCGCTGAGTGCCAAGGGCTCCCCCGGCCTCAGCAGTGGGAGCGGCAGGTGCAGTGGCACCCTTCCAGCCTGCTGCTCCACCACAAGTTAGGGGAGGCAGGTGGCCTAGACCTTTTATGGAGGAGCCTACTTCCGGGGCCTGCAATGAGCCAATCAGGTGTGAGCTACGAGTTGATTGGTGCTACCTGGCCCAATCAGACTGTGGTTAGCGGGAGCCAGCAGCCTCTCACCACATGTCAGTCGTGGCAGTTGCGCCTCCAAGACCTTTTATGTGAAGCCCACTTCCTGGACTGTGGACTGGACCAATCAGGTGCTAGAGCTGGCCTGTAAATGGTCCAATCAGCCACAGGATTGAAAAATGGTCCAATCAGACTGGTGGGTGGGGCGCCCTGAAAGAGGATATAAGCCAGGGTCTGCGGGTGACGAGGGCGGTGAAAGCAGCACAGCACGTGGAGAAGAGGGGAGCGAGGGCGGCGCCAGCCTGGCGCGGAAGGTGGCGAAGACCCTGTTCCGGCCGGTAAGCAGAGGAGGAGAAGCGTGCAGCAGCCGACCTGTGAGGACTGAAGAGAAGCGGAAGAAGCCTGCGCGGGGACGTGGCGTCCGTCCTGTTCCTCCATGCCCTGGACGGAGCCCCAGAGACGGCGGCCTGGCGCCACAAAGGGCTGTTTGTCGTCGGTGTCGCCCAACAACTCCCAAAGAGCTGTGGACACTGCGTGTCTCTGACGCCGCCTCTGAGGGGCCAGTAGGGGCCACCCTGCTGGCCAGCGCCGGCCAGCGCTCCTCCTGGAGACGGTGGCAGCCGTCTCCGTGTCTGGAAGACAAACCCGTGGTGGTGGTTCCTGGGGCCGGGGTGTCTCGCTTGTGGGTGCGGGTGACAGCCACAGAGGGTGACCTGTCCTCTCGTCGGGCACCGCCCTTTGGTAGGCGGTAGCCACACGCCCCGACGGTGTTGCCGTGGCTGTCCGGCCTCAGAGCCCGGGCAGGCGGGGGGCCGGCCTGCCGGCCCATCTGGCCTCGGCCTGTTGCCCATTTGTAGCCCTCTTGGCCTCTGTGGCTGCATGGCAGCCCCGCGGTCCTAAGTCCTTGGCGCCCTCCTGGGAGCCGGGTGTCTTGCCCCCGACTGCCATCCCCGCACCAGGCCTGGAGGCCCCGGTGGCCGCCTGCCCCGGCACCGCAGCGGCAGGGGACGCCGCCGCCGGGCTGCAGCGTGTGGCTGGTGTCCCGGGTCCCTTTGCGCACCCCAGCTCGTCTCCTTCACCCGTTTGGCGAGAGCTCGCTTTCTGGCCCCCTGGGCTGAGCCCGCCTGTGGGTGACGGTGAGGAAGGCCGAGGCGGTGTCAGCGTGCACGTGCTCGGGCAGCCCTGTGCTGGCCGCTCTGCCCGAGGGCTGCAGTTGCTGGCGCTTGTGCCACATGTCTACTGGAATAATCACCGCTAAAGTGAACTCAAGGGCAAATGAAGGAATGATTAAGAATACATGGCATCGGCCCACCTGCGGCCTGGTCAGCCCATGGACGCATAGCTGCGACTGCAGGCCAGTACAGGAGCAGGACGATGCCTGACACTCGTAACGAAGGAAAGCTGCTAACGTCTCAATCTGCCAGCTAACTGGAGGAGGGTGCTGCCTGGCAGAGCCGGCTGGCAAAGGGCGCACCTCTCCTCCCTTCAAAGCCGCCCCTCTTTCACACAGTGGACACTGGCCTGTGGTTGGCAGTTGGAGACCCTAAACGTGTCCTTAGAGGGTGCCAGCAGCCAGCCTGGCCTCTCGGTTCCTGCTCTTCAACGTGACAACTCAGCTGCTCTGCACACTTCGAGGGATGCTCCTGGCAGCCTCTCTGGGCTTCTTCTCGGGTGTGGGGGACAGGGCCGTTGTTCCCTCACTCCAACTTCCTGGAGGACCGCAGGGCGCAGAGGTGGGACTGCTACAGAGCGAGGGGAGAATTTCCCTTCCTGACCCGCATCACTCTGCAGTGAGCTGCTGGGGTCACCGCCAAACTGGTTTCCTCAGCAGTCGCCCCATTTCCCACTCCCACCTGCTAGTGCGAGAATTCTCCATGTTGCCCCCATTTCCTTTTTTTGTAGTTAAATGAGTCTGGCATTTGTTCTGAGGGTGTTTAAGCTGCTCCTGTTTTGTTGTTTTTTTCCCTGACGTTGCAAAGAATGTGAGGATAAGCGGCCCTATTAATGTCAGTCTGCATCTCTGGCTATCCTCTGCAATGAATCCCTAGAAGTAGAGTTACCGGTATGAACACATCTTCGTACTGTTTTTCGAATTTTGGAAAAGGTTTTTAAAACTAGTGTTGCAGCTTAGAGAGATTGTGGATCATCATGGTCTTCGACAAGCACTGGAGAAAGCATTAGTCGGTTAATGAAGGAAGAACTGGTGATACAGCCAGTTGCATTTCTTTTTTTTTTTGCAATTAAGATTTGATTTTAGCGATTAAAAATGTTGCCACCATTTACTTTTTTAAGTTTAGCATTCCTAGTAGGTGTGAATTGATGTTTCATTATGTTTTTGATTTGCATCTTAATCACCAGTGAGGTCGAGCATATTTAGCGTGTTTACTGGCTATTTGCATATATGAAGAGGAGAAATGTCTGCCCATGTTGTTTGCTCATTTTCAAATTGCTTATTTTGCCTTTTTGTTGAGTTCTAGATTCCACCTCTCACCAGACAGAGGACTTGAAAATATTTCTCTCACTCTGTGGCTTGTCTTTTCAATTTTTTTAAGACTATGTTTTGAAAGGCAAAGGTTTATGAATTTCAGTTAATATTTTTCCTTTTATGTGTTGTGATTTGGTATTTATTTATTTTAGATTTATTTATTTGTGCATACAGAGCTGGGGTACAGGCCAGAGGTGCAGGCGGTGAGAGGCTTCACCTGAGACAGAGTGGGGAGCAGAACAGGCTGACTGACAAGTCCACTGCTGAGGGGAGCAGTGGGTGGGTCAGGAGAGGTCTGCTGTGCCCTGAGGGTCCCCTCCGGGGCAGGCGGGGATCAAACTCATGCTGAAGTGGCTTTAGCTACTCGGTGCTGTGCTTTGACCTGCTGCACCACCAGGGAGGGCCCATGGCTTGGTATTTAATGACTCTACTAAACCAGGGTCGTGGAGACTTTTTTCATATGCTTTCTTCTAACCCTTTGACAACACATCTCTTACCGTTAGGTCTCTGATCCAGTTTGAATTAATGTCGGTGTGTGTGTGAACGGTAAGGGTGTGAAAGAGTCTTTCCCGCGTGGGTATCCAGGTGACTCTGCAGCACGAGCTGCAGACACCATTCGCTCCTTGGCACCTTTGTCAACATTACGTTGAAGTTTAAATATAAGGGCTAATTTCTGGACTCTCTGTTCTATTGACCTAAATGTTTATTCCTCCTCTGGTACCATCCTTGATAACTACTTTATACGAGGTTTCAAAATCAGGAAGTGAAAGGTCTTCCATTTTTTCTTTACTTTTCAGTATTTCTAACTAGTCTGTGATATTTGCATTGATTTTAAGATCAGTCTGTAATATGTACAAAAACAACCTATTGGAATTTGGATAAGGACTGTGTTGATTATATGCATCAATTTGAGTAGTACTGTCTTCTGAGCATCACTGAGCCTTAAAATTAATGAACATTCACCTATTACTAATGGAGTATTTAATGGTTAAAACTGAAAGTTTTCCCTTTAAGGTCAGGAACAAGACAAGGACATCCATTGACACCACTTCTATTTTAGTGCTGGGGGCTTTGGCCAGAGCTGCCAGACAACAGGAAATAAAAGGAATGTAGTTTGAAAAGCATGTGACACTATATTATTCACACGACCCGATAGTAGAGAACCCTAAAGACTCCACCAAAATGACCATCTACCTATGAAAATACCAGTAATGCTCTTTCAAAGAAACTGAAAAAAAAAAAAAAAAAAGAACATTTATATAGAACCAGAGAAGGCCTGACATAGCAAAAGCAATCTTGAGCAGCAGCCATCACATTACCTGACCTTAGGTGATAAAGTATTTGAAATAATATAATATTGACATAAAACAAATATGTGGATCAATGGAACAGAATCAAAAGTCCAGA